CCCCCCCCCCCCTTCTCCCACTGGTTTGATTATTTATTTCTCTCCAAAGATGGAAATATAGAAAGTAGAACGGAAACTCATCTATACTTTTTATTTTCTATTTTATTTAACAATAAAATCAAATGTTGCCATATTTCTTCACAAATTTGTTCATTCCGAGAAAATTTTTCCTAAATTGGGCAAATATTTCACTACCAACCACTGAGCTAACTATCAATATTTCACTACCAACCACTCAGCTAACTATCAATATTTCATTACCAACCACTCAGCTAACTATCAATATTTCACTACCAACCACTCAGTTAACTATCAACATTTTACTACCAACCACTCAGTTAACTATCAATATTTCACGACCAACCACTCAGCTAACTATCAATATTTCGCTACCAACCACTCAGCTTACTATAAATATTTCACTACCAACCACTCAGCTAACCATCAACATTTCACTACCAACCACTCAGCTAACCATCAATATTTCGCTACAAACCTCTGAACTAACTATCAATATTTCACTACCAACCACTCAGCTAGCTATCAATATTTCACTACAAACCTCTCAGCTAACTAATCAATATATGATATTTCACCAACAACCACTCTGCTAACTAGCAATATTTTACTACCAACCACTCAGCTAACTTAATGCTAACTTCTAACCACGATAGCTAACTAAAATTTTACTTAGGTTCAATATCATAGCAAAAATAAAAATTTGAACTCAACTAGCATGTTTTCCAGCATGTATTTTTCCCAATGCAGCGAGAAAAAAGCCCAAACATGGGGGGGGGGGGGGAATTCATGAGGGGGGACAAATAATATATACTTCAGAATTATTATTTGTGAACACAGAGTACAAGGATATGTTTCAACAACTGAAATATACAGGACTCAAGGGAAACAAATTCAGAATTAAAAATTTACATTTTCGTATCAATATCCGGGAAACTATAAATATTTATATTAGAATATCTATATAAATATTTGTTGTAAACTTTGTTAGAAGCTGGAAAATTTCAACATTTCCCGCATTTTTTTAAGAAACCTTTTAACATTAATTGCTTTATTTTTATCGAATAAAAACCCCCCTCAACTTACACTTGTCTGGCTTTATGTTTTGCTTATATAAAACTTTTAATAGATTATCTCATGGGATTATTTAATTAATATTTCATTAAATAATTATTTAAATGAGTGTTCCAGAATTTTAAAGGAGTTGGGGGAGGTCTTTAACGTCCTTTTAATGTTTAATCGTTAGTATTTATATAACATAAAAATAATGTATTCTTTTAAAGGTGGAGAACTATATACAGCTACGGTTTCTGATTTCTCTGGGTCGGATCCACTCATCTACAAGGAACCTTTGAGAACGGAGCAGTACGATTCAAAAATACTAAATGGTAAGAAAATTTTTAAAATAATTTCGAAATGTTTTCAAATTTTTTTTTCTAGCTCCTGATTTTGTTCGAACCCTGGAGGACGAGGATTACGTTTACTTTTTCTTCAGAGAACAAGCAGTGGAGTACATCAACTGTGGGAAGGTAATTTGTGGAATATAACTATCTCTTTCTTGGGTTCAGGATTATAATATATAAAGTAGTAATCTCTGTTTGTCTGTTTGTTTGGATGTCTGATCATAACTCATGAACCCCTTGGACTTATTACAAAAAAAAACTTAAGGAATTATGATATGAATAGAATAAGATTTATTTTTTGTTTCACAGGGTTACCCACAAAGGATTCTTTGAATATGAACAATTGACTCTTAGACTTTAAACCTTCAACTAGACGGATTATTAGGTCGTCATTAGAGAGTCTCATTTTTTGTGGGTACCCCTGTATATATTATCTCTCCGTTATATATCATGAGTGTATTCTGTATATGCTTCTTGTTTTAGTTAATTACAACTTTTAATTTCTTCTTCGTATTCTTTTATTCTTCAGCTTAACCTAATATTATTATATGCAAAGAAAACTTAGCAATACATTGATGCATTTCTTTTTTCATATACACATTTATTCATTCATTCATGTATCCTTTATGACTTAGTGCATTTCTGTATTAATTTATTTCTATTTTCAAATACGCATTTATTCACCTAGTCTTGGTTCACTTTAGAATTAGTTTATTTCTATTTTCAAATACATATTTATTAATTCATTCATTCACCATTCATTACTGCATGTCTTGGTTCACTTCAGTATTAATTTTTTTCTATTTTCAAATACATATTTAGTAATTCATGCATTCACCATTCATTACTACATGTCTTGGTTCACTTTAGTATTAATTTATTTCTATTTTCAAATACATATTTATTAATTCATTCATTCACCATTCATTACTGCATGTCTTGGTTCACTTCAGTATTAAATTATTTCTATTTCAAATACACATTTATCCATAATTTCATCCTTCCTTCCTCAGTGCTTGTCGTAAGAATGTTTATAAGGTACGATGTGAATCATTTATGGTACTTGTAGAACACCTTCAATATTAAAACAAAGATAATCCATTTTTATATTTTTGTTTGTATTTGTTTGTATATTACTGAGAGAACTAAAACAAGATCAATTTATCCTTCTTCTGCTTCATGCTTTCTTCATCTTCATGATAAATAAAAACAACTGTAAACAAACAATTTGATTAATTACTTTGTCACGGGATAATTAGGCTCATATAATTATAACAAAAATAGAAATATTAGCAACAACAAAAATGATAATGATAAGAATGATAATAATAATATGAAATACATGATAATGATAATAATAATAACAATAATAATATTAGTAATTATAATGATAATAATAATAATAATAGCAACAACAATAACAAAATTAAGGATAACAGTTATAACAATGATAACAATATTAATAATGACAACAATATTAATAATAGTAATAATAATAATAATAATAATAATGATAATAATGATAATAATGATAATAACAATAATAATAACGATAATAATAAAAGAACGATAATAATTATAACAGTGATAACGATAAAATAATTATGATAATGATAACAATAATATAATAATAATATTGTAGAGCGTGTATAGCCGAGTAGGGCGTGTCTGTAAGAAGGATCGAGGTGGTGGGAACAAGTTTAAAGCAAGATGGACGACCTATCTAAAATCTAGATTAAACTGTTCTATCAGCGGAGAATATCCTTTCTACTTCAATCATCTTCGTAAGTTGTATTTTATTTTTGTAAAAATCATCAAATCTACACTTCATTTTATCTGGGAATTCACCGTTTATAAGGATTTTTTATTTTTGAATGCTTAGATTTTCCCTAGTCATGTAAAACTAATGAATTTCAGATCTTGACTATTTTTGCTAATAAAATTCATAGTTTAAAAAATATACCGGTTTACAAAGGCTGCAAAGATTTTATGGCGATTAATTACCTAATCCAAAATATCCAAAACAATTATTTAAAAAGCATCCATAACAACTCATGCTGTTATGAAATACTGATGTAGAATAAACGCTGTGTTACTCAGCAATTTCCCTTCTTTAGCTCCATATTTCATGAAAGTGTCCAGGGGACTAGAAGCAAATCTAGAACTGTCTCCCAACCTGCCCTGTATGGATTGTGTATACCATATAACGACAAATTTCAGTTTTTCCAAGTTTCAGGCATTTTCAAGCCATATCAAACTTCATGCAAGCACTTCATACATAGGAAAATATACTACTGGTAGATCTTAAACTTTAAGCATTTCAAATCCCTTCTATTGTTTTCAAAGAAATTGATAACTTTTTTATTTTTTTATTTCTTAAAACAAATTTTCAACGAAACCCTTTCAGCATTCCTTATATTCCCCCAAACCCTCCCAGAGGATTATGAAAGTTTTCTAGACGTTTCGTTTCAATTCTTAAGTTCACGATAATACCCAATCATACCATTTGATTTAGCAGTATTGGACCCTTTAAACCATATCTTGGACTGCATTATCTAACCATATATAAACTAGAGAAACTGGAGTACTATACCATTTCATCATCCAACCAATATCATGAGTATATTATCATCCGACCTATACATGGAGTGCTTTTTCATCGACATATATCTGAAGTACTTCGTCACCCGACTTACATCAGGAGTTTGTCATCATCCGACCTTTATTAGGCGTACTTAATCATCAGAATTATACCAGAAGAAATTACGTATTTGATATATACTTGGAGTACTTCATCATCTGAATTATACCTGGAGTACTTCATCATCTGACCTATATCAGAAGTACTTCATAATCTGACCTATACCTGAAGTACTCCATTATCAGCCACAAACCTGTAGTATTTCATCATCTGACCTATACCCGCGGAATACTTCCATTATCTGATATTTACCTGGAGTACTTCGTTATCTGATATATACCTGGAGTACTTCATTATCTGATATAGCATGGAGTACTTTATTATCTGATATGTACTTGCAGTACTTCATTATCTGATATATATCTATAGTATTTCATTATCTGATATATACATGGAGTACTTCATTATCTGATATTTACCTGGAGTACTTCATTATCTGATATACACCTGGAGTACTTCATTATCTGATATAGCATGGAGTACTTTATTATCTGATATGTACTTGCAGTACTTCATTATCTGATATATATCTGGAGTATTTCATTATCTGATAGAAACATGGATTACTTCATTATCTGATATAACCTGGAGTACTTCATTATCTGATATATACCTGGAGTACTTTATTATCTGATATATACCTGGAGTACTGCATTATCTGACATGTACCAAGACGGGAGGACTTCGACATTTTACATATTTGAGGAGTATTTCATCATCTGACCTATATCAGAAGTATTTCACCAAACTATATCTGTAGTAACTTGTATCATACCATACAACCATTCTATAGAAATTCGTCATGATAAAATTAATCTGGAAGGTTGAGTAGTTTTGTTATTTAGTTAAATAAAGTGACGAAGCGCCATAAATTCAAATTCAGATGAATCCTCTCCTAGAATAAAATGGACCGAATTATGACGGGAAAAGGATCGACATCTTGAATTGGAATTTGTTAAAAATGAGAAAAGAATTTCTGATTTCATTTTCGGTCTTTGTCAGTCCTGACATTTTCCATCAATTACATTTACCAGGTCTAGCTGAGGGAACCAGGATATATTCAGTATATTCAGTCAAATCTATTTTCATTTCTCCGATGTAAAATAACGGTTTCTATTATCCTCGATGCATAAATTAAAGCATAATTAATCCTTTTTTTGTATTTTACCTGTCAAGGGGTTGAAACTAGATAAATGTTTAATCTTTCATGATAGTTTACTATTTTCCTCCTATATAAAAGCTTATATATAGTGAAACCAGAAAACTATGGAATAACAAGAGTTACACTAAAGTAATAATTAAATATATTTAATGTTGTTACTAAGTAAATAATTTTACTAATAACTTGTTAAAGTCATAATTTGAGTCTAAAGGTCTTCTCCCTAATACAGAGTTTTCAGGTTCTCAATTTAAAATTTACACATTGTCCTTATAGTGGTCTGGCAAAGATGAAATACCTTGTCTTGTATATTCTACTAAATGAATGTTTAATGGTTGTATCAAGGTTAATATGGTTTACTCACTGTTTTCACGTGGATTACCTAGTAATATTATTTTACATTAATTATGTATTAATGAAGTTAATGCATTACCTTTAACATTAACCAAGTGTTTTGCCAAACTATGTCCAGAAAAGAAGGGGGGGAAGAGTATGTCCAGAAATGAAGGGGGGGAGTATGTCCAAAGAAATGGAAAGTTTTATTTGATATGCAATTTTACAATCTACATAAATCATATATATAATGTTATTTAACCACCATATAATTCGTTTTAGTAGTTTTTTGGTGATATTATACGATGTTTTACTGCGGTCTTTCATACTCTATAATTAATTATTTTATTTCCAACCGTCGAACTTTTCAGTTTTCTAATCAATTCCGGCCCACAAATATTTTTTTTGTATATATCTTTTAAAAGTAAAAATTAAGAACATTTGACAGCTATAATTGATAAATGATGAGGTAATATCTTGTATTCTCCGAGTGAAGAGCGCTCTCTTAAAACTACCATATGTTCAAAGCTACGAAGCTTTATGTGAAGTTTTGATGTTTTCAAATATATTTTATTAACTCAAATTTAATTAAGAACTTGGAAACTTGAATAGAATTTATTCCTGGGAAATAACAATACAATACATTTCTGCAGCATCAATGTTAAAAAAATGAACAATCTACAACGCTTGAAATCGATTAATGATTAACTTATTAAGGAAAACAATTGACTTTTCGCGATCTCTTAGTTGACAATAAAATCTACATAAACCAAGACATTTGTATATATGCCAAACGACTGGACCGATTGGGCTGATTTTTTTGTGGATACTCTTGGTTGTTCGGAGGTGTCATAGGCTAAAAAAATCGAATATTGTTTTCTTAATTTTTTTTTTCACGGGCAACGCCGGGCCTTTCAGCTAGTAATTAATAAAATAATTATTCTGTGCAATCAACGTAAAAACAGTTGTCACTGGGTATACCATACTTAAATGCATGAGGCATGTAGCCTTTAGTAGAATATATAAGACAGTATAGAGACAACTTGAAGGTTGTCTTCGATCTTTGACAGGCCTCTAAGGACAAAATGTAAATTAACAAAAGGTTGCATGATTTAAATGTGATTATTATGTTCTGAAGAAATTAATAATACAAAATTTCCGCGACTTTCTGCGCAATCAAAACTCTCAATGTTTATTAGTTTGGAGGTCTTACCGGGTGTACCTGCAGGGAATGAATTCAGATTTAACCGATTTAAAGATCTTTATTTGCTACTTCAATTTCAAATAAAAATTGGTTTAACTATAAAAAAATGAGGTTTTAATTTGAAATTACCATGATCATTATATATATAAATTATAAATTTCTGTTTGTCTGTTTGTTTGTCAACGAACCCATTGACTTCTACAGGGAAAACTTTGTTTCCTGTCAAAGCTAGGTTTCCTAAAATTATATAAATATATTAATCATAAAAAAATGTTATTTCTTTTTCTGATGTACTTCATATCACTTAACTAAAATGTATGAGTGCAATCAAGTGCATTGTATTAATGCATTTACTGTTGTAAATACAATATTTATTGTTTATTGTTTATTATTTATTGTTTGGTGAAATAGCAAAATTATTTTGTATTTAGAATTTTCCACCTATCTTTTCCTATTAAACATTATAATACAAAGACAAGGAAATGATTACTCGCTACTAAAACTTAAGAAACTGAGTTTTTTGCCTTCTGTATCTCTGCAACCCAATGTTTTATATCATTTTATATCTTAATATCATGATTAATGTAATTCACTGTATCATAACTAATTGTGTTTAGAGTCTGTAAGTGGAATTATTGATGGAACATATATGGGAGAGAAGACGAGAATAATATATGCTGTGTTCACTACTCCAGAGAACGCAATCGGTGGCAATGCCATTTGCGCATTCCAGATGAAGGTATAAAGCATTTTCCTGAACCATTTAATAAATATTACTTTTCTATAGGACATCACTCCCCCTGACTCCTGAGTGAGCACCAAACCTAGATATTTAAGAATTAATTTAGCTATTAAATTTTCAAATGATTTCTTCTCCCATAGAAAGTTGCTTTTAAATTTTCTTTTCCTACCCCTAACCGTGTCAGGGGAATCACAAAAAAATTGCCTAAATACCTTCATAATATTAAAGTTGGAAGCGAATAAATTTCAGTGCGCTTCCCACATACTATAATTTCAATTGTTTCCCCCTCTCCTGGAAAATATTAGAAGCAGAGCTGAATCGTATTAATATAATTTCAAAGTATGAAGCTAGTTTTGAAAAAGAAAAATCAAGACATGAGCAACATTTTGAACTTTATAACTACGTCATTTCCTCTAAATCAACTTAGTATAAAGAAAAAAAGAATTTTTATTTTCCCTAAATTGAGATACACTTGGTGTTTTTTGTGCACTTACAAATTGTCGGTATTTGCTGATTATGTGCACTTCAAGAGAAAATCCTCAACGTTGGTTCAGAAAAATTAGGAAAACTCTGAGTGTATATATTGTAGACGGTCAAAAACCCTTGAATGTTCATAAAATAAGGGGAGATAGATAGATAGATAGATAGATATATATTTGAAGGAGAGAGTGGGAAATATATCGATACAAAGGTTTAAAAGTTTCTGAATTGTGAATATTTGATGGAACTTTTAAATACAGGGTTACTTCATTTCATTAATGGTAATTTAAGTGGGTTAGTGTTGACACAGATGAAATGTTTAATACTTTTTTTGGGTTAGCAAAGCGTAATTTTTAGTGGTCCTCCATGCAGAGTTAGAAATGCCCGATTCACAACTGTACGCTGAAAGCTTTTTATGATTAAGTATGAATTATATATCAATGTTTATATTTGAAAAACAGATTAATTTCAGTTGTGGTTTCTGTACAACAGTGAATTGCCCATTTTTTTTTCAGTAAAACATATAGGAATAATCAGAATTGATCTGATAATGGGTTCGAGGATACCTTTTTAAATCTGGCATTACCATCTTTGCATGAAGGGTCTTTTGAAAGTACGCTTAGTACAGTCCCTTTAATGATCTCCTATAGAAATTTTATTGTAGCTATCTATCTATCTATCTATCTATCTATATATCCATCTATCTATCTATCTATCTATCTATCTATCTATCTATCTATCTATCTATCTATCTATCTATTTATCTATCTATCTATCTATCTATCTATCTATCTATCTATCTATTTATCTATCTATCTATCTATCTATCTATCTATCTGTCTATCTATCTATGTATCTGTTCAGGATATTTTGAAAACGTTTGATGGAGCGTTTAAGGAGCAGGAGACTGCTAACTCTAATTGGCTCCCTATACGGGATATGAAGGTTCCGGATCCAAGGCCAGGGCAATGTTCAGAGGTAACCCTTGCTCCATAAACATTCTTTTAGAAATCTAAAACTTAAAATGTTCATTTAATACTTCTGTCATGGGAAAATTGCTACTTGGAAAATTGTCATTTGGGAAAATGTTCATTTGGGAAGTTACTGCTTGGGAAATTGCTCATTTGGGAAGTTGCTCTTGGGAAAAGCCTTTTGGAAATACCTAACACCATCTTTACTCCATGAACATCTTTACTTCATTAACATCCATAAATATCTTTACTTCATTAACATCCATAAATATCTTTACTACATAAACATCTTACTCCATGCACATCTTTACTCCATAAACATCCTTACTCCATAAACATCTTTACTCCATAAACATCCTTACTTCATAAACATCTTTACTTCATTAACATCTATACTCCATAAACATCTTACTCCATAAACATCTTTACTCCATAAACATCTTTACTTCAAAAACATCCTCACTCCATAAACATCTTTACTCTATAAACATCCATACTCCATAAACATCCTTACTCCATAAACATCTTTACTTTATAAACATCCTTACTCTTAAACATCTATACTCCATAAACATCTTACTCCATAAACATCTTTACTCCATAAACATCTTTACTTCAAAAAAATCCTTACTCCATAAACATCTTTACTTCATTAACATCTATACTCCATAAACATCCTTACTACATAAACATCTTTACTCCATAAACATCTTTACTTCAAAAACATCCTTACTCCATAAACATCTTTACCTCATTAACATCTATACTCCATAAACATCCTTACTCCATAAACATCTTTACTCCATAAACATCTTTACTTCAAAAACATCCTTACTCCATAAACATCTTACTCCATCAACATCCTTACTCTATAAACACTCCATCAAAATCCTTCTGTCAAATATGATTCCCTGAAATAAATATTTTCTTTCACCCTGTTAATTAATGAGAAACCAGGATAAAAGTTTTCAACCAAACCTTGCTTTATTTTAATATTTCTCAGTAAAGTTACTCCCCCCCCCCTCCAAACCCCTTCTGAGCTTCCCGCAAACATTTTACCAGAAATTTAATTAAAATTAAATTTAGAATAATGAAATTCAGGCACAATATTATGATTATACCGACATGCTTAATAAAACCGTGTGTCTAGAAAAATGGTATTAACAACAGTGTGCCACGACAAATTAAAAAAAATTGCTCGAAAAAAATACTTCCAACTAAATTTTCTTTGCGTTCATTGAAATAAAGTTGCATCTACAAACCATGGACTAACATATGCTAGATGTGTTCTGTTTGTTTAATTTGAATTTAATCGCATTTAGGATCGACTAGAACTCAACGATCTTTAAATTGTCACAGTGTTACTTGTTTTACTTTTCATTCAAAGTGGATCCGCCAAGAAAAAAGAAGAAATGAGAAAAATGAATGTGTACTTGATCAAATTGTGATCGAAAATTACATCTTCCAGAATCAACTGTTTAATCAGCCTGCCGTGTTTACACTGCACACATCTTCAAAAATGATAAAAAGAATTCTAAATGTTGTCTTGTTGTTTGTATCAGACCTCATTAAATCTGAATTATTCGATATTAGTTGTTTCTTTCTTCGCCCCCGGATATTCTTCTAGTTTTGCCCTTTTCGTGTAAACCCGACAGTATTAGAAACAGATAAAACCTTTAAGAACTTTAAAAACATTATTTTGAGATTTTCTTTTACAATTATTGAGTGTTTGCTTCATTTACCCGATGTCTCCGGGCGATACAGTACAAACTGGGACCGGAAAGGTTGACCCGGCTCGGAAATGTACTACGCGTGCTCCCCGTGATAATGTGAAACAAAAAAGGACCACGATCAAGTAGTTATCCCGAAGCTTTTGTAAAATGAATTAAACAAAATCCTCTTATCCAGTCGTCATAAACCATCAAGGAAAACTTAAATTAAAGGATCAAGCGATTAATAATCACATTCAAAAAATTTCACATTGGATATTCAGAAAAAGTGCTGTACACCATGCAGTGCTAAAGCAAGCAAAAGTTTTGACCTTAGGCTGCAAAGATATATGGTTTAGAAAATTAGAGTTTGAGTGATGAGTTTCTCTATACTTTTGAGTACAATTATAATGGTATTAATTTTATTTATCCATTTTAGGATTCTCAGAAGCTGCCTGAGAACAGCCTAAGATTTATCCAGGATCATAGTATCATGGATGAATCCGTCCCGGCATTCTTCGGAGGAAACCCTATCTACGTCCGAGCTAACATACAGTGAGTAGTTTTTATTTAGGATCCTTATAAGGGCTACAAATATGCATAAGCCATTGCAGATTTATTACTCTTCTATTCCATAAAAAACGTTCCCCAAATTTTACATAAATTGGCCTCTAATATTTTATACATATATATCTATCTACAATTCTTCTAAATTTAACACTCTCAGATCCGTGAAATAAAAACTATTTTTACCAAATTTAACCATTTATTTATGAATACATAAAAAACCATGTTTACTGTTGAAACCTTATTTTAAAATCTTTGACTTCTTTCAAGTTGAATATGTAAAGCAGGTTTCATATTTAGAATAAATTCAAACTTTTTTCAATTTACTTTTTTTCAACACATGTGATATAAGACACAAATTAAAAGATTTAATTTTAAGTTTTTTCTCAAAATTCTTAAGATTTCGCCTGAAAAATTAACTCACTGTGATTTGCTGTATCCATTGCAAAACTTTCTTATGTAATTTTTTGCCAGCAAAAAAGCACTTGTTTTTTAATATTTTCTCCAATTTTTCAACATTTGAGAAAAAATTGAAAATATTTCTTAAAATATTAGTTTTTTTAAGAATTTAACCCAAAGCCTGTGATTTGCTCTACATTGCAAAACTTTTGGCGTGGTTTTTGGCCAATTTTTATCAAGTTTATTTTCGGAATGATTTTGGGTATTTCTTGACACCATTTTAATTGTAATTGTTTTGAGGGTTCAGAAGAGAAAGAAAAAAGAGAGAGGAGGGATTGGATCAAATCAATACTTTTTACTTAGTTACAAATTAAGTTAAGGACGGGGGGGGGGGGTACATGACTTTATCTTTACTTTTCCTTTCTCTTATTCTAAGTAAATATGGTAGTAGGATTTTTCGCATTTTTTTTATCTCACCCTGTTTAAAAACTTTAGACTTTCAAGAACTGTGTATATCATGTTTATTTGAAAAGCTTTTCTCTTAAAATATTTTTTTTCTGACTTTTTTTCCCAATTTTGTGAAATCTAGCCTTTGTACTATATACCTCAATCCTTTTCTGGAGGGGGTAGGCGGGGAGGTTGCCCCCCCCCCCCTCCGATGATATTTACTAAAACGGTTATGGATGCTCGGCTTTCAGGGCGCTTCGCGCTTGTCTTTTTTTATCTTTTGATTGTGGCTCTGTCCGGGTAGAAATTAAAACTAAAATAAAAACAAATCTATTCGAGGGGTCATTCATTAATTTGAGGATTTTCAAAATGTTACGAAAATCAAAATTTTTTGAGATAATTTTTTTATTGTGAGCATCTTTAAACCTTTCCTAAGATCATGTGAGGTCCCTGGCCCTGGGCTTGATCAGTTCAGCCATTTTGACATTTATCAGTTACAAACAAACAAACAAAGTATATAAATAGATTTAGATCGCAGATTTTACATTGAAAAATGAAAATAATATGATTGCTTCTTTATGCAGTTTTTGTGCAAAAAAAAACGATAATTGATTTTGAAAACTAACCCAATTTTGCAAAAACTTATTTGCAGGAAAGTGAGAAATAAATTAAATTTGGCTAAATTTCAGATATCCGAGTCAATTTAGAGAGATTGCAATCCATCCTGGAGTGAAGACCACCGACGGGATGGTCTATGACGTCATGTTTGTCGGGACGGATCGCGGTCAAGTTCTCAAGATGATCAACTCCGTGGATCAAAAGGGATCGAAACCGATCCTGATCGAAGAGCTTCAAGTTGTGCCTCAGGAGGAACCGATCCTTAATCTTCAAATAATCGGCTCCAAGCTTCTTGTTACAACCAGCGACGAGCTTCTTCAGCTCCCGCTCCATAGATGTGGAGTAGCATTGAGCTGTTCAGCTTGTGTTCGGCTCCAGGATCCATACTGTGGTTGGAGCATACTAACCGCTAAATGCGTGAGTAACACCAATTTTGAGCCAATGTACGCTTCAGAGTTTTTGCAAAATGTAACTTTTGGAAGACATAGACAATGTGGAGATTCCGAGTCCCCAGTTGTTATAGAACAATTCATGGGACCTCAGGGTTCAGTACAACCAGGAGAGAACAGAGATGTGAGTATAGAGGTTCCAACTGATCGTTATACAACAGAGGAGTTATGTATGGCAGTAGCTACCTCAGTCGTCTGTGCTCTTATACTAGGATTCATTGCAGGGTTCCTAGCAGCCAGGTATTCAGTACCCGTACCATAATATTCAGTACCCGTAAACCATAGTGTTCAGTACCCGATTCAGTACCCGTACCATAAATAGTATTCAGTACCCGTACCATATATAGTATTCAGTACCCGTGTCCCGTACCATATATAGTATTCAGTACCCGTGTCCCGTACCATAAATAATATTCAGTACTCGTGTCCCGTACCATAAAAAGTATTCAGTACCCGTGTCCCGTACCATATATAGTATTCAGTACCCGTGTCCCGTACCATATATATAGTATTCAGTACCCGTGAAAATAATCTTACCTTATCGAAATTATTTATTTTGATTTTTAAGCCATTGCAGATTTATTACTCTTCTATTCCAATTTTGGCACAAATCATCAAATTTTAGAGTTGTCTTCTCCCCATAATTGGTCTTGTTTGGTACTTGAAATAGGTTAACGATTTGTAGTTGCATTGATTCAGATCAGTTTAGAATAATCCATTTCATAACACTATTTCAAGCACCATTTTAAATAAGGTATTTTAAATAATTCTATCCAAAAAACGATGTCCCGTACCATATATAGTATTCAGTACCCGCACCATGAGTATTCAGATGTACAAACACCATTGCATCCATCACCCTTAACTTAGTATTGCTATTTGGTTCCCGGTGCATAACAGTTATAGATAGCAATAAATCATTTTAGCAATGTAATCTAACATATAAACATTTATTGGAACTGAAAGAACAAGTTAATTGCCACTCTTTTAGTTTATTACTATATATTATTAATGCTTTATATTTGAAACTCTAAATGCTAAGTATTACTAATTAATTTGACACCTTTTCCCCGTTCTACTGGTCAATTTCCCCACAAATTGTTATAAATTATGTTTTAATTCACGAAATGTCTCTTTTATTCTTCTTCCCTTTTTCCACCTTTTTCCTCCGATTAGTTTAGTTCAAGATTTTTTTTTTAACAAAGCTTTTCAGATCGATCTTCTTTAAATTATCTTTCCATTACATTTCCCATTCCAACATTGATTCTCAGATAAGTGACGCCATTTTAAGCGACTCAAAATTTGTTAAGGTGTTTGTCTGAATTACAGTTACCCTTTAATCCTTTGCTGAATCAAGAGTAAAGGAGATATCCTTGTTTTCAAGATGATTTTTTTTCTTTCAATTGTGCTTTTTACACGAGTTACTTACAGATTTATGCCGTATGAAGAAAATTGTCAGAAATTAATTAATATAGATAAACGATGATACAGTAAAACCCTTAATAACGAATACATCGGAAGAATTTATCAAATGCCGTCTTGACATTTTTTCAATGAGTTTTATACTGTATTACGTAAATTTCAGTATTTGCGAAAATAAATAAATATCCATGAATATGCGGGAACAGTGTTAAAGAGTTCCATATAATCATTTAATTAAAAAACTAAATATCTGCAACATTCCATCATCAGAAAGTGAAGAATACGACATTTGATTAATTCTTTCGATGTATTCGTTATTAAGGGTTTCACTGTATCTTAGTCATTGTTAAAGGGTATCGTTGTGAATTGGACATGCCGCTTTATTAATGGATGCTTACTTAATACCACGTATACAATCCATTTAATTGACGGGTAGATTGAAATTTCGTTGGAAAAAAGTAACCGAAAATTTATCAAAACCAACTCGAGAACATTGAACAAAATAAAACAATTCTGAATTTGTCTGAACTACTGTTGTTGTTTATGTTTATTTTATCATATTTAGAATTTGTAATTCTGGTTTAAACTGCAAATATTGTTCACTGCAGGATGGGAATAATATAATTTTATGTTTATTCTGCGACTATTTTCTCGACTCACATAAACAATTTTTAGTTTTTATGCGAAAGAATTGAGTCTTAGTCACAAATGCAAATTTTCTAATTACTGTAATTTTGCATCCTGATGGTGTAAGCAGCCTCTGAAATTTTTAATCTCAAACTCAAGTTATTTGATCTAACAGAATTATTAGTTTGAATTATATATAGTCTGTGGCATTGGGTTGCAAAGATTTAGGGATTGGAATCTCAAAAGATGTGACAAAGACTTAAGTCTCTAAAAAGTTAATTTCCCCAAAAAATAGTAAAGCACTATGAAATATTTCAAGCAATTGCAAGAGGCAAGCCAGGTTTGCGCTAAAATCTAAGCCCAATATGATAACCCGTTAAAACAGCTTAAACAAGTCACCATTCTTTTCTCCACTTTAGCAATATTGTACTCATAGAGAATAGAATATATATACCCTTTGGATAGCCTTGTATGTAAAGTTGTTTAAAACCCCAAACAACTTTGTGTTATGTGCAAATCTCTCTTCTTTGGGGAGAAGGGGGAAGGGTGATTTAAAAAAAATATTTTTTACGATTTTATATTTCTTTTTCAAAGGTTTCATTTATTCTTTATTTAGGCGATGTCAGTTTGGAGGAGAGAATCCATATCATGTGCCTTACTTAAATAGGTAATAAGAAAATATACTGTTTCAAATAAAATAAAACATTATTATCTTAACCCTTTAAAAGAAAGTTATAAAGAGTGTACGCTGTGTACAATGTGAACTCAATACTCTTGTATCTTGAAGATACCAAATATTCAAAGTTCGAAATGGTTTAAACGAATGTAAACACTTAGTTTTTGCGATTTCTAGAAAGTTAATATCATTATATATCCACGATAACAGCTTGCAAATCAACTTTTCAACCATTATATGCGTCTTCGTATATTAATATGGATAAATTCGACATTCTTACTCAGTATATGGTCCTGGTGTGAATCGTATACTCTATAATTGGAGTGTCACCTAAAATTACGCCGATACAATATATATGTTATTCCGATTGGGTACTATTTGGCCTTATCCTCTTCCTAGTGTATATTACTAAAAAATTAAAGATTTCAGGGTTGGACAAATATCGTATTGAGTAAATCTGAATATATATTGTATATTGTATAAAAATCTTCAATATCTTCAATATATATTGAAATTGGGAAATATTACACTAGTCTAAACATATACTTTGTACACCTCTACTCCTAAATCTGTTCTAGCCAAAAATAAAAAAATGCCAATTTTTGTAAATCTTGTTTTTGCAAAACCAACCTAAAACATTTGCTCTGGAAATATTGAATGTGGGAAAATATGAAATATATGTTTTGTTCTCCAATAGAAATATTTTTAAAACATAGATAGGGGCCTTTCAGACACAATATTCGGGGGAACATAGATAGGGGCCTTTTAGACACATTATTTGGGGGAACATAGATAGGGGCCTTTTAGACACATTATTCGCGGGAACATAGATAGGGGCCTGTTAGACACATTATTCGGGGGAACATAGATATAGGGGCCTTTTAGACACATTATTCAGGGGAACATAGATAGGGGCCTTTTAGACACATTATTCGCGGTAACATAGATATAGGGGCCTTTTAGACACATAATTCAGGGGAACATAGATATAGGGGCCTTTTAGACAAATTATTCGCGGTAACATAGATGTAGGGGCCTTTTAGACACATTATTCGGGGGAACACAGATAGGGGCCTTTTAGACACATTATTCGGGGGAACATAGATATAGGGGCCTTTTAGACACATTATTCAGGGGAACATAGATAGGGGCCTGTTAGACACATTATTCGGGGGAACATAGATATAGGGGCCTTTTAGACACATTATTCAGGGGAACATAGATAGGGGCCTTTTAGGCACATTATTCGGGGGAACATAGATATAGGGGCCTTTTAGACATATTATTCGGGGGAACATAGAAAGGGGTCTTCCTTTCCGAATTTTACGGGAACATAATTCCCATAAATCTGATGTAAAAAAGTATACTTCTGCTTATTTTAGTAATCGCCACAATTAGTGCAAGTGTTGGTGCAAATATTTAATGCGTATATTAAACTGTTTGACGTCATTAGCCTTCAAATCATGCAACCAGTCAAGATTGTAATACAAGGAAAGGTATTTCAGAGGTGTACGCATCTTTTGTACTGCAGTGTTGCTGGGCGGTAATGTAAACACAAGACGGATGTCGAAGCCTGACATGGTATCCATCTTTCAAATAAAAAAAATCAATGAAATATTCTGGTCAAAGGAAACTATGTGAGTCATCAAAATTATCAAAATGTAATGCTTTTAACCTCCTTGGATACCAAATGAACACTGATGCATCTATTCTTGTTTACAAATTCCGCCCAGACAGAACTGGTTTCAAAATGTACGCAAAGTATACGCAACTGCAATTAACTTTCCTTGCATTAAATACCTTGCAACCAGTTATTGATGGTGGAGATATCTTGCGGAAGTAACTCAGGGAGTTTTGTGATTTAACCATGGGAAAATGGAATTTGAAGGAATTACACTTTAAGATAAAAACACGACAAAATCCTTATCATTGTTGCAGGATTGATGCTGTAAAGGGCAACTGTCAATTAGAAATTCAATTGGATCACTCAAATGTACACTCCCGTTAACTCAGATAGAAAACGGCCATACGTCTACACCGTCGATTATTAGAGCAAGGACTAAAAATACTTGGTTTCTGGCACTTATTTTCTACAATACATTTCTTCAGAATTAAAATAACAAATTTGAAATGTTTAGATCCGGGTATGAGGAGGAGAACATTTACGCCAAGGTGGACGATATGACCTTCTACCCCGTAGTGTCCACCACCCACACTCAGGACACCCTGATGAAGCACAACATCATCAACAACCTCCTCGTGACCGATCAGCTGGAGAGTAAAACCCTGGACCTTCACCAGGCTCATGCAAACAAGAACAAGGACTTTAATACATTCAACGCCTTCAGTACTGTACATAGGTAATATTATATACATTTAGTTCTGTACATAGGTAATATTATATAAACTTTTGGTACTGTACATAGGTAATATTATATACTTTCGGTACTGTACATAGGTAATATCATGTACTTTCTGTACTGTATATAGGTAATATTATATACTTTCAATACTGTACATAGGGATAATATATACGTACAGTAGTACTGTACGTAGGTAAATGTACATTAAATTTCAAATATCTACTAAATCAAGTGCAACTTCGTGTAGTTTTTATATGTATGATTTTGAAAATGAAAATGATGAAGTATCTCCAAAAAATCTATTTTTAACATATAATTTTGTTAGTTCCATTTCAATAGTTTTTAGTATATTTTAGTATATTGTAAGCGTAGCTAACGATTGAGATAAGCTACTAGAATATACTTCGAACTTTATTGATTAAGTCTACAACTGATTAAACCAGTAAACTAATTAGTTTTAATTAATAATAATTGTATTTATAATTTCAGATCTCAGAAGATCTATCTGTAGATGAACCGAGCATATCCAGAACCTTGGAACCTGTAGATTAGATTTCCTACATACAGTACATACAGTACACATAGTTCTCTATAGAACTCTTTGTTAAAATATTCAGTATAGAGAGAGATCAACGATTTTGCAAGTCTAGATCGTTAAATTTGCAGATAAGGATGCAAAAAAGTTAACATTTTCATAATTCCTAAACTTCCAACTTCTCTTCTGTGCTTGAAAAAAAAACTGTTGATGCCTAAAAAAAATTTTCTTGTTAATATTCTTTTTAATTAAAAAATCATAAATTATTTATTGTAAAAAATCTTCCCCTGTACAAAAATAGTTTTTAAAAATTAAGATTAACACATTTTAGCCAACATTTAAGAAAAGTTCTTCCACAAAAACTTTTTCATCAAATTTTTTTGGTATTGTTAATGATGCACTGACTTTGAGACTTATATTTTTAAAGACAAATATTTGTAATCACTATGCAATTATGCATTTGCTTGCACGCAACACGATGCAGAGTCCTCCATTTTCTTTTTTACAAATCTGTAAAACGTATTTTCAATGTGAATTGTCCATATCTAGTAATGTAAAACAGTTAAATCTATCCAGATCTTACTCCGCAATCAGCTGATATTATTTAGCCATGCTGGTTTTGGGTTTCACAGTTATTGTCAGCTGATATTGGTCTGGTGTGGTAATGCATACTAAATGGGTTCCAAGATCCATTCCATTTCAGCTGGTTTTGGTTCGGAAATTTTCATCTGACCAGCTGTGTTCGGTTTGATTTGGCTGTTTAACGGTCAGTATTTGATATTTCAATGGCTGTGATTGATTCTAGTATCCGTATTGAGATAGAGCCTAGTGTGATACATAACATTCACCCCCAATCCGTTCTTTAGAGTTCCAACCAGCCTTCAATTATGTTTTTAAAGCAAATTATGGATTTTCAGTTTTATTTCTATTCTAATAAATTCTGTGGGGAAACTAAATCGCACCATTTCCCAATTCTGCTTATATAATTTCTATAAATGCATTTTCTGCAATCTTATTTCCTTGAGAATCCCTTTAAGACCATTCACAATGTTATTATAATCCTGGACCAAAAAAACGTTCTTTATTTAAAAAAGTGCATTTATGAAAATACATTTTTGAAGAATTTTATTGGGAACTAATATTTTAGATCCCTTCCCTATAGGGTTAAATGAAAATAAATTATTAACCTTAATTATCCGGGTACCAGTATATCCGGTGCCCCCCTCCCCCTCCAAAGATGATTGTTGAGTAGATGCTAGCACCCCCTCCCCCTAGATCTCCAGATATATATCAGTGTTTACTAAATAAGCTTGCTAAAGTAATCATCCTTGAAAAACATAAATTATTTTTGAAAAATTAAAGCTATTGCTAAACTTTGTAGGTGGATGAAGGATGTCAAAACTTAACTCAATAGAATTCCCGTCACATTTTTTCTTTCTTTGTAATCTCCTTACTTTCAGTATCGACTAATACCAATTCCACTAAGTTTTAACAAATTTTTTCAAATCCTCATTTTCATCCAAAATGATCAAAACAAACATATAAATAATCCCCAAATGCCTTTGATTAGAAATATTAAACCTTCCACTGCGCGTGCGCCATGTATATGAGAGGGCGGAGGGTATTAGAAGTATAATTGTACAGTATATGTTTACTTCAATCCCATGTTATGTTAAAACAATTGAATAAAATATTACCGCTTTAACTGTTCTCAGTTGTCGATATATTATCATGAGAGTGAGAGATGAGAGCTTCTTAAAGACAGGGTCGGCCAAATAGATTATCAAGTACAATAGGTGGCAACAGAGAAATTAACAAATTATACATGACGTCACAAGTGTCAAATATAACAAGGAAAAAAAAAATTTCTCACATCAGTTGACATGTTTTTCAAGATTAAATAAAAAAGTTTAAAAACAGAAAAAAGAACAAAAAATTGCACTTTTTTTACTGTAAAATTATCAATACTGTTAATAATTTTGTCGAACACAAAAACTAAGTTGACACTTATGACGTAAGAATACAGCTGTACTGAGAGTGTACACATTCTACGTTGCCATCTATTGTATACTAGAATCTATTTGGGGCCGGCTACCTACAAAAAATGAGATTGTAAAGTTGAAACTTTTATGTCTATTTATTATGATTCAAGCTTCACATGTCTAAATAGTAATTACAAGGTTACCTACAAAGGATAAGACACGGACACTCGTATATCATAATGATTCCTAGATTAAATTAAGTAGTTCAGCCTTGAACCTAGCCGTTCAATGGTTTATTTAGTGATTTAGCAACGAAATAAAGAAGTTTACTGTTGCTGTGAATAATGAGTATAAGGAAACAGACAGTTTTGGTTCCGTACAGTCGTCTATAAAGTCTCATCCTTTGTGGGTAACCCCGGAGGTACACGTTTTCAGAAAATTTACATAAATAGTGACAACTGTTTAATATTTACACCTTTGATATAAGAGAAATGTGATATCCATATTATTCTGTCTGAAAAATAATTATTTTCATAGATTATCTCTAAGAGTGTCTGTTAGATTTATGCTGCGAAGATTATGAAGGATATGAAAACGACGATATATATCTTCCTTAATGTTAACAAAAAACTTTCTCAGGACAATAGAAAATAGTTAATACAATGAGGGGAAATTGACTATTTTCATGTTTTGTTTTTTTATTCGTTTTTGCGAAATATGGCTTAATCTCGAGCGTGATTCATTTAATTTGTGATAATTGGTCTGTCGTCTTGTTAGTGTGTATACACACTGTTCAATTTACTCGACCTCTGCTTAAAAGTCAGTCCTGTACTTTAAATAAACAGTATTTTTCAGTGATATTGACCTATATCCTATACCCTGTATTCTGGATGAGTATATATCTATTTACAATATTATGTATTCCATCCATGGATATTTATTCTGTTTCACTGATATTTAATTATTTTCCGGATCCTGACATATTTTCAGGATAAACTACATAGTTTAGAATTTTAAATTTTAGTTTAATACAAACATAAATTTCAAGGAAAAGAGGGGGGCAAGAATATTTGACCCAGCATGTATTTTTTCAATGCACTGGAGAAAATATCTTGACACTGGACAGTGATCTAAAGGTTGCAAGCTCTCAGGCAAAAATCAATGATGAGAATTGTGCCAATAACTTCTTAAATATTAAAGCTTTAACAAATACTTTTTTATTGTAAATTGTCCAGGGCTACAAAAAAAAACATAGGTTGCGACACTCAAAAGTCGCCCAGTCTTGAAAATTGATGCAACTTTTATAGCACTCTGGATCTATGTAATAATTGAAATACCATACCACATGAAATTCCCGGATAATTGTAACTCCCTCAATTTTCAAATCCTGATAAACGGTGTAGGCGTAAACACGATGGTTTAGCTGACTAAGATTTGAAATATACACTGAAAATAATATAAAAAAGATTAAAGGAATTGACTCTTTGCAACAAACTCTGATTTTCTAATCCCTATATCTTTAGATTCCGACGTCGTAAACCTTTTAAATTTCAAACTATGAAAAATATAAGTTTGAAATATCAAAGGTTTACGACATTGGGTTCCAAAGATATTGGGATTAGGAAATCAGAGTTTGTGGCAAAGAGTCAATTCCTTTATAATTAAAATACACATTTTAAAGTAGTGCTAAAAAATATAGAAATTCATCAATTTAATGAAAATGAATTGTTAATGAATCATTTGACGGAAATAGAATATAATTTATTTCATTTTTGTTATCTTTCCTTTAATCATTTTATCGTTTCCTTTCTGTTGCATCTCTCCAATAACATGTTTGTATTTACAATATTTTTGCTTTTGATAATATAATGATTTATTATAAAAGTTCGGCCTCAGCTGTCTGTACACTGTATAGGAAAATGATCGAAGATTATGTGTACTATAACAGTACTCAATATCAATTAAATTAAAGTCCATATATGTACGATGTTATTAATAACGACCATAAAGTATAAAAAAGATAAATACAACCTTTGTATGGAGTTTTATTAATCTTAAACGATTGATCTCGATGGAACTTTTTAAATTTTAAAGATCAACATTTGATCCCTAAATAAAATTTATCACTTGCTGCATTGAATGATCTGTATAAAATCTGTATAAAATTGAGATCAATGTTTGATCCGAGATTGGCTGAACCCTGATTGGATCAAGCTCTAATGGACTCGGCATAGCTTAGTGACGTGCACAAAAGTTCTGTGTCCGAATTTAATGAATTTAACCCGCGTCTCAAATCCCCCAAAAACCGGTTTCAATCGAGCGCCGGCTTAAATCTTGAAAAATTGAAAAAAATTTAACTGGAATAAACCATATTTGAGCCCTGGCTTAAATCTAAGCCGCGGCTCAAACTCTTTAAATTCGGTCTCTGAATTCCGAGACTTATGCTAGAGATATCGTCCTGTTGATGGCAAAATTTTAATATCATATCTGAATTTCTAGATTTAGCCGGGTATACAACTCAAAAATATATATATATATATATTTGTATATATATATATATTTCTAGATTTACTCATGCAAACAAGAACAAGGACTTTAATACATTCAACGCCTTCAGTACTGTACATAGGTAATATCATGTACTTTCTGTACTGTATATAGGTAATATTATATAGTACTCGTGTCCCGTACCATAAAAAGTATTCAGTACCCGTGTCCCGTACCATATATAGTATTCAGTACCCGTGTCCCGTACCATATATATAGTATTCAGTACCCGTGAAAATAATCTTACCTTATCGAAATTATTTATTTTGATTTTTAAGCCATTGCAGATTTATTACTCTTCTATTCCAAATACAACTCAAAAATTCCCAGCTCTGCGAGATCAATAAGCTGTAGTTTGAAATTCCAAATGTTTATATCTTCAGGTTGCAAAGATATAGAGATTGGAAAATTAAAGATTGTGGTTAGAGTTCAATCCATAATTTTAAATCTGCTTAAACTTGAATTTTAATCCATATTTTTGATCCAAAATAATAATCATTAATCCACAATAATTTTCAATCCATACTCCTTGATCCACAATACAAATCTTCATTTTAGAAATAGAGAAAACTCTCTGGGTTCTCTATTGTAATGCAGTATATCTAAGATTAGTAATGATTTCTAATCTTTTATTCATGATACAGGGATTCAGAATACTAGAATATTACTTGATAATGATTATTAACTGGATTGGTTTTGCTTGTCTAGTAAACTACACACATTCCATAGATTCTGAAGTTTACATGGGACTGTATGGGAAATTTCAAATGCAAAGATGGCAATGCCAGATTTACAATGATTCCCTTGAAACAAATATCTGAAAATAATGTGGTGGATACTGTCGTTTTTCTAGTTTGAAAAGTGTCAAAATCTGATTTTCTATATGTCTTCGTTCAGTAGAAATGCGCAAGTCACTATGGTAGAGAAGCAACAATAAAAAGAATAATAAGTTCTCTAAATTATAAACATTGATAACTAATTAATGCTTGATCAGACAAAACTTTGGTATGGAAGGTCACTTAAATTTCTCTTACTGTCCCTTTAAGTGAATTCAATGTTTCTGTTTTCCATCTGTCCCAAGTATTCTGGTTCACCCCAGTGCAATATTCAGTCTTGATCAATTATGCAGGTATAGTATGTAGATATACTGATATATCGATACAGGGTGCACAATGTATATTATGTAGATATACTGAGTTATCGATACAGGGTGTACAATGTATAGTATGTAGATATACTAATATATCGATACAGGGTGCACAATGTATAGTATGTAGATATACTAATATATCGATACAGGGTGTACAATGTATAGTATGTAGATATACTGATATATCGATACAGGGTGTACAATGTATAGTATGTAGATATACTAATATATCGATACAGGGTGCACAATGTATATTATGTAGATATACTAATATATCGATACAGGGTGTACAATGTATAGTATGTAGATATACTGATATATCGATACAGGGTGTACAATGTATAGTATGCATATTTGTAATAAATATTAGGTCACATGATATTCTGAAAACTTGCAGTACATTGTACATTATTAATTATCTATGTTTGTAAACTTCTACGTAAAAAAAACAATTATTCATTTAAACTGCGTTTCAAATGAACATGTAGCATGGTTAGCTTAAACCCCTTTAATATGTACATTCAACTTATAAACATGTGTGGAGATAACTTAACTACGTTATATTTATCCTCATTTATCATATAAATACACACATCTTAAATGCGCCTATTTCGTCGTTGCTGTAATACGTAACATGATTGTCATAATCATGATATTAATAACAACATAGGAATTGTAATTACGTCTATTAACTTTAACTTTTTACACATAAACCTCAAATACAGTTATAGTTAGAATCAGAACTCCGCTTTGATTACAGTGTAAGTTAGTTATTCTACCCCATTTGAAATATTCAGTATAAGGTAGAGATCAATTAAGGGCTTGATAGATAGCTAATGCTTGTGTCCCTGTGTGGTATTTAGAATTTCAGTAATAGCTTGTTTATAGCTACGCTTGTGTCCTTGTGTGGCATTTAGAGCCTTAGTTATAGCTTGTTGAAAGCTTTGCTTGTGTCCCTGGACTGATAAAGTTTGGAACCAAGGATGTAATGCAAGGAAAGTTATTTCAGAAGTGTACACATCTTTTGTACT